CACCTCTGAGCAAAGAGTAGCACAGCACTGCAAGGTGAATGTTTGGAAGCTAGAGAAAAACAGCGTTGGAGCGCCATGGCATAAGTCGTTCTGACGATTCCTCTCTTCTGGAGAGTGCAGACTTTTCTAGGTTTAGGGTTTAGGGTTGTTTGTTTCAGCGAACGTGTCTGAGACTCGTGTTCCACGGGCCCAATATTGAACATGTCAGGGAAGCCCCAGAAGGATGTCAATATAGAGCCCTAAATAATTACCTGTACTTTTTTTTGGGGGGTCCTTATTATAAGTATGGTATAAAGGGCCCCAAACCCCCTAGTCTAATTATTAAGGCCCCTACATTAGGGACTGTTCGTGTTCATAGAGGGAAAGAGTCGCCCAGGCACAACGATGCCTTTCCAGGCTCCCCGCCTCTCATTGGTACAAATGCTGGGCTCTGGAGTACCATACTTGAATACTTTTTTGTTGGACCTGTTCGTTAAAGGAACCATTATAAAATAAAAGTCTATACTTTTTTCTCCTTTGTTACTTCAAAGTCCAGAATGAGTTTTGGGTTTAGGGTGTAAGGTTTGAGTTTTGCGGTGTCTTCGGGCTGCGGGGTTCGGAGTTTTATTGGTTCCGGTTGAGGGTGTTAAGTTTTTGGGTTTTTGAAGGCTTGTGTTGAGGCTTCGGGGTTTGATGGTCTATGATTTGGGCCTTGGGTTTACGGCCGTAGGCTTTCATGGTTCAGGGCTTTCTACTAGGAGTGGCTATACAGAATCGTGATAGAAACCTCGGATATCTGGCGCCACAGAAGAGTGACGAAGGAAATGAACTGGTCTCCCGCATTCCTTCTCCACTTCCGCCTTTTCGCCGACACCACAACTGCTGCTGCTGCTGCAGCTATTGCTGATCGTGTTACTATGTTCGATACTTAACGGCCTTACCATTGCGAAGATGATCGTTTTGTTTAAATTGGTTTCTGTCTTTCTAGTTGTTGCACTGTTTTAGTATCATTGATATCAATATTCTTGTTGCCACCTAGCCCTAAACCCTACCTGGGACCCAAGAGTCTTGCCTTTTTAGGGTTCCTTAATGTGGTTTCTATATGTAGTTCCCGCAGGAAGGTAGGTTGCTTGGGCCACAGGTAGTAGAGAGTGTGCCACAGACGCCTGTGACTGGACGCTTGGCCACTGATCACAAGTTGTGGCATTTGCTGAGGACCGCTGCTAAGGATGAACAAGCTCCCCGAGAGACATGCATGGTTAGCTGCGCAGTGCTTGCACGTGTGACGCGGGGCCATGAGTGTCAGGGTCAGCTGACGCCGTGGGGCGAAGAAGAGCAGGTGCTGCATCAATACCATGGGTATGCAGCAGACTGTTATTCACTGAAGTGCGCTGCTATGGTTGTTCTGCAGCCAGCACAGCTGCAGCGTCATTGTGGTGCTGGCATGCGTGCATGTAGCAAGGTTGCCTTTGGAAGCAGTTCCCATGGAAACGCTTTGCGTTGGGCTTAGGGTTTCGGACAGCGTCTTCGAAACGAGGGTAATGTGTGACAGAGAGTGGTGGAGATCCTGATCCGCAGGGCCTGCTTCGAGTGGATTCTTCTTATCGGCTTGTTCTTGAAGGTTTAAGCTTTGTTGTCTTTTTTGTTCTTCTGGCTTGTCTATGTGTCTCTTAAGCAAACGTTAGTGTCACGATTTTCAGGGGTTTTTGTGTGGGGTGTCCAAGGGGTTTTACGGTTCTACGTTTTTTTTTTTTTTTGGGGGAGGGGGGGGCTCAGTTTAAACTATTCACCGCAGACCCTTTTTGGGCAACATAAACTAAGTTCCTCTACAAGGGCCCACTTCAGCGTTCCTGTCCCAGCCCTGCATATTGACCCCTAGACCCCCCGGCCCCAAGAACCTGAACTCGGCCTCAAACACGGGTTTAGGGTTTAGGGGTTTAGGGTTTGGGGTTTAGGGTTTAGGGTTTAGGGACCCTAAACACTGAACCCTTAAACCTGAAACTCTAAGCCATTCTACCCACCCAAACTTCCTAAGCCTCATCCTCCCTTCCACCTTCAACAAAGAGACCCTGGATGTGAGCCTTGAGCCCCGGAACCCTGGACCCTAAACCCCAAACCCCCAGACATTACACCCTAATCACCCCCTGAACCCCAACTTCTCTCCTCCCCCTATACCCCAAAGCCAAAACCCTGAACCCTTGGTAACCCTAAACCCCCGACCCGAAACTCTAAACCCTACGACCAAAGCCCAAAACCCCAAGCCCTAAACCTTAAACTCTCAAGCCTCTAACCAAAACCCTAAACCCCATAACCAAAACCCTAAGCCCTAAACTCCCTTAACGCCCCAAAACGCCAAACTCCAAAGTCCAGAACCGAAACCATGTAGGCGACCATCCTCTGCACATGGGACCCCTTGGCTACAACGGATCGAAGGCATGCACCGCTTGGCTTTTGAAAGGGTTTTGGGTTCAGGGTTTAGGGTTTAGGGTTTAGGCTTTTGGGTTCAAGGTCTATGATTCGGGGTTTAGTTTCGGAATTCGGGAACGGGGCAAAAGCAAGCTAAACAGTTGCTTCCGAGATATGCCTCGTAGGTTAGTCGTCGTATCCCCTTACATAGTCCCTCTGTCTCTCTTCGCGCATGTAAATAAACAAGTATATATCTATCTATCTATCTATCTATCTATCTATATGTCTATTTACATACATGTATACACATACATACACACATATTCACGTTTTATTCACATACGAAAGTATGCCCTTGCCCCGCCTCAGAAGAAAGAGAGAAAGCAAACTGTGCCGTCTTCTATCTTGTTTCTTTCCTTTCTGCTTCTAGGGGTTTGCAGTTTTGCGATCTCGAGCTGTGGCTGAACACCTTGAGTCTGATGGTGTAAGGTTGGGAACCAAACTACGAGACCTCACATACCTATAACCTCGGATATGGGGGCAGCGCAGCCATGATCGTTTCGGGACCAGCACTTGTCCCCGAAGCTCGTTAAGATCAGTACACCATCGCGGCAAGCCCGAACCCTAAACCCTCGGACCCCACCTACACCCTAACTTGCTTTTAAAAAACCCTAAGACCTAAAGCCCCCCATCTGCCTCCAGGCCGCCATGGAAGCCATCTCCAAGGCAGACGTGATCCTGGCATTGGGCACAAGGCTGCAGCGTATTCCGTGAGCCTTAGAGACCAATCCTTAGAGCTCTGAGCCGTAAGCTTCATAGGCCTCATTGGAGCCCGAGTAACCTAGTAGAACAAGTCTAGACGGCCGGCTGCAAGGTTAGTGATTTTTCTTGATAAGCGCCCTACAGTCACAGCACCCTTAAAACCCCTCCCTTAAAGTCATGGCAACAGCGTGACTGGAGCACAATCAGGGCAAAAATCCATGAGCAACCGCCAGTCGAGCAGGCGTGGTGGTGGTGGTGGTGGTGGTGGTGGCGGCGGCGGCGGCGGTGGCGGTGGCGGTGGCGGTGGCGGTGGCGGCGGCGGGTGTTAAGGGTTAATGATATCAACATCAAAAGACGCCAATCTCTTCACTCAGGGGTCATGACTCTCGACATTCTGTAGCATGTAACAGGCTGCAGATGGGCATAGTGGCGGCATCCTGCACCGCAACCCTTTTGGGCTCAGTCTGCACAGCTGTGTCATCGTTGTCTGCCAGATCCAAACCATCCATTAAACCCTAACTGGGACCCTAACCCCTAAACCCTAAACCCTACACCCTAAACCCTACACCCCAACCTGCAATGGCCCGTGTCCTCCAATGTCTTGCGGCCTGCATTCTGCCTGCCGTGGTCGCTGTACGCTCCAAAGCAGATCTGCCTGCGGCCGAGGTGGGCCAGAAACCGTTTGGGGGTTTAGGGGTTCAGGGGTTTAGGGGTTTAGGGATTTGGGTTTAGGGATTCAGCTTTTAGGGCTTTTAGGGTTGAGGGTTTAGGGGTTCCAGGTGTAGGGTTCAGGGGTTGCTTTTGCAGTTCAGGGTTCGTTGGGTTCAACCTGTAGAAATGTTTTGGCATGATTCCCTATCCCGAGAGCACCGAAGTGCGACTGCTCCCTACGCCGCACACTGGCCCGAAACCGAAAAACCCAGCCGCGAGCCCTAAAACCCTAAAGCCCTAAGCCCTAAACTTAAAACCCTAAGGCCCTAAGCCCTAAACCTAAAACCCTAAAACCCTGAAACCCTAAAGCCTAAACCCTAAACCCCTAAACCCTAAACCCTAAAACCCCAAACCCCAAACCTCTACAGGGCTCTCCGAAAGTGTATCGGACGACGGGCTTGGACCTCGTGAAGAATGCATGGCCGGGGGCGATGCTCCGCCAGAATGAACGGTACGGTTTAGGGCTTTGGGTTTAGGGTATAGGGTGTAGGGTTTAGGGCTCCGTGGATCCAAGAGGCGTTCGTTCCGTACTTGAGAGACGTGCGGCACGTAAACTCCAACAGCCTTTCTGGCAGTTTGAACAATCACTCCGTAGCATCATTGAAACACTCAGCCTGGTCAAGCATATCAGTAGCAGGAGACGCCAGGAAGCCACAACAGACACGCACGCACTACATTAAGCTATTATATTCGATTCCATATTTTATTACATAAATAAATAAATAAATATATATATATATAATACATACTTTTGTGTCGATGTGTCTATCTATCTATCTATCTATCTATCTATCTATCTATCTATCTATCTATCTATCTCTCTCTCTCTATATATATATATACATACATACATATATATATATAACGTTTTTTTTTACTATGTATTCCAAGAGAGGCTCCGTGTGGGAAGACATCTAAGGGCCTTCGAGGCCGCGCAAGAGTGGCCCAAAGAAATCCGTGATCAGATCTTTGATGACATCCAGGAGCATTGGGTTTCAGGGTTGACTTAGGGAGACTCTTGATGACATCCAGGAGCATTGGGTTTCAGGGTTTAGGGGTTTAGGGTTTAGGGGTTTAGGGTTTAGGGTTTAGGGGTTTAGGGTTTAGGGTTTAGGGAGATTCTTGACCTCCAGGAGCACGTCATGAACAGCCCAGGGGAACACGGGACCAACTTGGAGTTGCTGACGCCTGGGTGTGCCAAACAGGTGCTGGGTAATAATATGCTATAATACACTATAATACAGCGTAGTATGCCAGAAAATATTGGAACATACCCTAGTACACGATAAGACACCGTAATATACCATACTATGCTAGAATATATTATGATATCCTTAAACCCTAAATCCATTATGATAATAACATACCAGCAGGTTCTGGCCCTCTATGAGGACATCATCAGAAGGTGCAGATTGAGGAATAAGGCTGCCGGAATTTCGCAAGGCGACCTCCAGATGCGAACCTCGGCCTGGTATCTGTGTCACTGTTGGGTAGCATTTTACATGTTTTTTTGGGTACTTAGGTCTTGGGGTCTAGGGCTTACGGTTTAGGGTATGGGTACTTAAACCGAAGAAGGAATAGAAACTAGAGCCTTTAATCACTATCCCAGCCGTGACCAAGGTATCCCTTTACATGGGGCGGGGATCTGGGAGCCAGCGAGAAGCCTGAGTTTCAGATTGGATTGCAGATGGAACGGCAATGGCTGGATGCCCTGGCATACTCCGAGAAGGAGGCCATCCTTTGGGCTGGGTTTTGGGAGGGAGAAAGCTCGGGACGAGCTACCAAGGAGGCACTCTTTCAGTTTGCAGATCTACTGGACAGGCAAACTGTGCATCCAGGTACAGAGCTAGGTCAACTGGTTGAGAAGCATGACGGCTTGGACCAGTGCAGCTATCAACGTGCGCACGAGCGAGAGCTACTCCAGAATTTCTGGACCTGGGCCAGTGCTTCCTTCGTAAGGGGCATGGTGCGGCATGGGCAGGAGAGCATCGTCGCCTTCGTCAACAAGGACGCCGAGGGACCTCGAGCTCTCAGCAAGTCCGTGCTTGCTCAGTGCGAAATTCCCAGCATCGGCCAGATGAGTCTTTTCGCAAAGTCTTGGACGCCTCATGTGGTCGTTGTGGACTTGAAAGGCACTTGCAATGTTACGAGCCCCTTCTTGCAAAGGCGCCTGGTGTCCCAAAGCATGTTGGGCTTCCGGTCAAAGTCTTCGGTCGTCCGGACTATTGGGGGCATCAAGTGGTCATGTGTAGATTGCTCGGAATCTGACGGTTGTACACTGGATGCATCCCTGGCAGAGTTCCTCAAGGCGGAGCTGGCTGTTCAGAAATGATTCTTCTCAGGTCCTTGAGGCATTGTAGCCGCTATCGAGATGCTGACTCGACAAGCTGCCGATGACGCCCCTCTCCAATGGCCATCCACATCATGCAGTTGCGAAAGACCAACAAAACATCTTTACTTGCTGACTGTGGCACAGCTCAGCATTTAAGCCAGTGCTACTAAGCCTAGTCCCTAAACCCTAAATAGAGTCCTGACGTGAAGATCACAGCAACGACACTTTGTGAAGTTCACTTAGCAAGCCCTCTGTAAGGCAGGTCAGAAGGGTAGTATAGGGGCCTAGAAAATTACCAATACTATTTTGGATATAGTGCTTTTAGTATATTATACCCCAAAAACCGTGTTTTCATGATGATGGCCGCTATATTAGTTCGGGGGTACGTAGATGTTCAGGACTTCGCGTTGAGCCCCTCAGCCTCGCTCTTCGCCCGCGATGTGGGGGTTTAGGCTTCCTAAACCTTACACCATGAGCTTAGGGCTTCAAGGTTCATTACTGTAGTTTAAGGGGTTTTGTTTTTGAATATTTACCTTAAACCATATGTCTACTCTTATTTAAGGTATATGGTTCATCACCTGTTTCAATCCAAAGGAGGTCTTGTCTGAAAGTTCTGAATCTGACGGTTTTGCCTCTCCGATGTTCACGAAAGGGGCCCGCAGGGCCTCGCGTTTTCATCCGCTGAAGGCTCGAGCTGCTCGTGGTTTTAAGGGCCCCCAAAGCCTCATATGGGGCTCTGAATAGCCAGCAATCGTATTCATACACCTCTACTGAAATATACCTCGAGGCCCTCTTCTACCAAAAGGCTCACAGCATTCAGCCTACATAAACCATGCCCAGCCCTATGATAAAAATGCGTGAGGCTAAACCCTAAACCCTAAACCCTAAACCCTAAACCCTAAACCCTAAACCCTAAACCCTAAACCACCTAAACCCTAACGCTAAGCTCTCAGCTTCCTTTACACCTTAGGGTTTGGATGGCTGAGGGTTCTGTGGCTCAGGACTTGTATGGTTCGGGGTTTTAGGGTTTAAGGGTTGAGAGTTTTAGGGTTTAGGGTTTAGGGTTTAGGGTTTAGGGCTTAGGGGGTTGAGGGGTTTGAGGGTTTAGGCTTGAGGCTTCGAGGTTCAGGGAGCTATGCCCTCGACTGCCAGAGTAAGCCCAAGACTTCGACCCTCATCCGCACATGCGGACCTGCAATTGAGGGTTTAGGGTTTGGGGGTTGGAGTACTTGTTGAAGTGGCCAGGCCCTTTTGCTGTCGTCGTTTGGGTTTTGCGCGCCTGAAGGATTGAAATCCGGACGATCCGAGATCTTTGCCTTGGCCAAGGGTGGTTCGGGGTTGACGAGTTTCGCTCAGTCTGTCTGTAAAGGTAAAAAGGGTGCAACCCCCTAAACCCTAAACCCTAAACGGGTGCAACCTTCGCCAACATTTTTCCATTGCCCTGGCACGAAACGGCAGCCATGGCTTCCAACTACAAGCATGTCATGCCCGATGACGATGAGGAGACCCAGCAGGGATTTGCGGCCTATTTTCAGGGTTTTGGGTAATTATAGGATTTAGGGTTGAGGGTTTACATAGAGTTTAGGGTTTACAGAGTGGTTGTTTATATGTGCCCCGTTTTCTGGGCCCCAGACCTCCCCCCCACATAGTCACCGTGACGGCTGAAGGGGGGCGGGCGGGGCACGGCTAGGGTTTAGTTGAGGCAACCGGACCTATGCACTTAGAACCACACCAAACCCCATGAACCCCTATGGCAACCTTGTAGTACAGTAGGCCTTCTAGCTTTAGTAACCCTAAACCCTAAACCCTGAACCCTACACCCCAAACCCTAAACCTTAAGAC